AACATAAAGCTCGTGAGCTCTGAAAATAATTTGGTGTTTTTGACTCTTAAGTACGGTAAGGCAAGCACTGAGTAATTATAGTCTCTGATGATGTCACAGACATTTATGCTATGTATGTAGTGACTGAAATTAAATGTCTAGTTTCTTCAAGTTCGTATACGTAGAAAGTTTGAATATTTGGTTGTATATATTCGTAAAATATTCTATATATCTGAACTTATATTTATTGGAATGTTTGCATTTATATATATATATATATATATATATATATACATAATTTAATTCAGTCTAAACAATGATTTACTAAGACTTATCTAAAACTGGATCCCATAGTTCCCCTAGATGTGATACCAGACATACGATTGTATTCCCACATGTTTCTTAAGAGGCATGTCACAATATTTTTGGAACTTGAAAGATATTTTACGAAATGGAAAATTTAACTGGTTGTTTGTAAATTTGGATGTTCAACTAAGGTCTGACATAGACTGGTGGTTAAGGCGCTTGACTCGCAATTTGAAAGTCACGGGTTCGAATCCTCATCGCCCTTTCAACCGTGATGGTTAATTACATTATTCGTTGGTAAAATAGCAGAACAAGAATTGACATTGGGTTGTGTTGATTGGCTGCCTTTATTCTACTTTAAATTAGGGACGGCTAACGCAGATGATCTTCGAGTAACTTTGCGCGAAATTCAACAAACAAAGCTACCCATCCTGTGGTTAAAGAAAATGGGCCCACCATGCACATAGAAGCACACTTTACGGTAATATCCCGAGACACGTTTAACATTATATAACACTGGAGTACACTCCAGTCATTGAAGCAGAAAATCTAAGACAAAAAACTACAGATACCCAAGTCTTTTTGTAGCTAGCAAAAACATCACCAACGCACGCACGTAAGAAACAACCAGCAGAACAATTACTGGTACTATTTATTTGAACACAATAGCTTAGTTTACTCCAAAGTTTCTGGTTTGTGTATAATCTGTCTATTTACCGGCCCGGCATGGCTAGGTTGTAAAGGCGCTCGACTCGCAATCTTTTAGCCGTGGAGGCGTTATAACATGACGGTCAATTCCACTATTCGTTGGTAAAAATAGTAGCCTAAGAGTTGGCGGTGGGTGGTGATGACTAGTTGCCTTCCCTGTAGTCTTTCACTGCTAAATTAGGGACGGCCAGGGCAAATAGCGCGCGTGTGTAGTTTTGCGCGAAATTCAAAACAAACTATCTATTTACGTATATCAGAAACAACTCGATTCTTATAAAGTCACAGAGAGACACGTTGAGAGAAAGTTGCGTGTCGAATTATGACGTGATATTTTAATTTCTCATCGAAATTTGAAACCGTCGCTGGAAAACAATTTCTAATTATTTTAACGGAAGCCCTCTCCACCTTTTCCCACGTATTTAATAATTGCAATAGAAAGAATCTGTGAGATTAAAACTTTGAAACACTGCTGATGTAAGTTGAAATAGCTTCTTTATTTTTAAGTTTTAGTTCAGTCGCGCGGAACGTTCTTAAAGATTAGCAGTTAACAATTGGACAACGTTCTAGACACACACACAAACAACAACAGCAAATAATATTTATAAATCAATCCTATTGTCATTCGTTTAAAATTGAGATGGAAGATGGGGGAGGGGGAAAGCTAAATTAAGCTACAGTACACCCAGCTGTTAGGGTTAGCAAGATTGTGTGGTGAATATCAACGAAGTCGCCAGAAAGTATACATGGTTTTGGAATATTGTTTTGAGTCGGTCTTATTTCGTTATTCAATGCTATTACTGCTTTTCTCTCATATGATTCTATGGTATTTGAAACAGATTTAAGTTTTGGTTTTGTTAATGCTTCTACCCATTAAAAACGTATAAACTTAAATTCGAATTATCATGGAAGAATGGAAGTACCTGTTTTTAATATAATTCATTACTGTAGTAGATGCTCTGGACTACAAGTATGCTAAAGTAATTAGTAATTGTCTGAGGCAAATTCAACGACGTAACAGCGCTTTCGAGTTTCAATTTTACACTTGGCTGTCTTCCAAATGGTCTTTTATTTCACTTTGTTTCGTGTAGGTCAGGCAACAAATTCTCAACATGGAATAGAAAGTAGTAAGCCAAATAAAGAATAATTATTCTATAAGTCATTATCATTCTTTGTTTCAGTTCTACACAGACTGTATTATAATAGTGAGAATGATAATCACCCAATAAAAATGCATTTTTAGGCCTAAAGTTTGTGACGACAGACACGGTTAAATGCAGATGTTAACTGCAGTTAACTTGATTTTATCGTACTCCTGTTGGTTTCTAATTCCTCGCCAGATTTCGGTGTTTAAACAATAAAAATTAATTTTTGGTTATTGTTTTCGTTACCTATTACGTTATTGTATCATAGTCATAGTTACTAAGCAATCACTTAATAACTGTTAGTAAGTATGGTTATGAACTGACATCTTTCGACTACATTAATCAATCAAGAGTGATTGCACACGTGCACCATCCAGCCCGTCTGTTATTGTAATCTCTTCCATAATAATCATATTTATGGTTTATCACATAGTAGTTACTGTTGATATGGCAGTCAGAGATGTGACGTCACAGAGCAGTCATAATGAGATCTTTCATTGGAAGAGTTGCATTTTGTCATGTGATAGTCAGGGTTGTATCCTGTCATGTGCAAGTCAGAGTGGTAGTCTGTCATGTTGCAGTCTGAATACAATCTATCAAGTAGGCGTCAGTGCGCCCTCTCCCGAGGGGATTACCGGTAAGATGAAGAACTTATAACGCTAGAATTCGATTTCGATACTTGTAGTGGACACAGCACTGATAATTTATTGTGTAGCTTTGTACTAAAATAAACAAATGGATATGTGAGGCTGTAGCTTTGTACTAAAATAAACAAATGGATATGTGAGGCTGTAGCTTTGTACTAAAATAAACAAATGGATATGTGAGGCTGTAGCTTTGTACTAAAATAAACAAATGGATATGTGAGGCTGTAGCTTTGTACTAAAATAAACAAATGGATATGTGAGGCTGTAGCTTTGTACTAAAATAAACAAATGGATATGTGAGGCTGTAGTTTTGTACTAAAATAAACAAATGGATATGTGAGGCTGTAGCTTTGTACTAAAATAAAGAAATTGACATGTTTTTGATGTTAAGCACAAAACTACACGATGGGCTATCTGTGCTCTGCCCATCACTGGTATCGAAACCCGACTTTTAGCGTTGTAAGTCCGCAGACATTCCGCTGTGCCATTGGGGGGGGGGGCGTATTCATGTAGATCTTTATTAAAAGGTCGTCTTTAGTTTATGTAATAATTAAAAAAACATTGTGTAAAAGTCAGATTTTTATGGATGATTGCAGTTTTTAGTAGATTTTTTTAAAAATAATAAGCCCTATTTTGGTAAAAAATCGGTTTCGGGTTTGTTAAAATAGAAGTATATTTTTGTTTTAGACCCATTAGAACGCCAGTAATTTTTTTTGTTTCTAAAACAAGAACTGCTATGAAAGCTAACTTTTATTACAGTAAAAGTCTTGAAATATTGTGTGAAAATAATTTGCTTTTAATATGGATAAGACGCGCTTCGTACTTTAGGGCTGTAGATGCGATATAAGAGCTTCGATTAAACATCCCACTATTCGATCAGACAACAGTAGCCCATAAGTTGATGGTGGATGCTGTTGACTAGCTCTTTACTCTTAACTTTACCAGTTCAAAATTAGAGACGTCTATGCGCGAATAGTGCTTGTGTAGCTTTGTGCAAAAATTATAAACAAAGAAACAACGTGACTTTGAGAATTAAGTTTTATTTCAGCAACAATAATTTGAGCCAGATTAAAAGCGAGTTATGTGTAAGTTGTAGGTTTATTACATTAGGCCTTGTTTAAACTTTAAGTTTTGTTTTACTTTTAATACAGTTTGCATGTATGTTGTTTTCTATTTTCTAACAATGCTGTTAGTAACACAAAGGTTTCTGTTATTTCAAGTCAGTAAGGCACAATTGAAGGGTAAAACTATTGTATTATGTAGTTCTTAATTAATTTAGTTACTTACCTTAGTTTTCCCGAAAAGGGGGCCGAAGGCCACCTGGAGGGGTCTCTTGTTTTAACCACTCGCCCCACTTGTTGTGTTGTCAGTCAGTAGACACTAAAATGACGCCACATAAAGGACTCTTAACTTTGCAATTTGTATTGTGAATAAAACGTGTGCATGCAATGAATCACGAGAAGAATTATGTACTCTGTAATCTACAACATAGCATGACATATGGCAAGAAAAATAAATATTTGTTACTCTTAATTTTGGTTTTATTTACTCTTGAAACAGAACACTTTCGGGGATGCTGCGCAAGTACATCTAATTTCGTATATTAACATATGCACGAAACTTCATATTGTAGAGATTCAACCAGCTCTGATTGGTTTACGCTTTCTATAGTATCCTAGAATGCTTCCCAAATAACACATTTTTTTCTTTTGACCGAATATTTTCTACGTTATTTTTCTGAGCTTTGTAATACTCCCTACAGACTGTCGAGGCATCTTTAATTGGTTCTGTCTAAACGGAGGGATACTTTACACAGATATTTCAGTAATTAAATATATTTAATGGTATTATGTTGCTTTAATACGTGGTTTATGCTGACTGATTTTCCTGGCTGAGCCGTTCATATTGAGTGGTATATGTAACTTTGCTTGAAAACCGTACATCTATAACATTCTGTGCATAAACAGCGTCTCTGTGACGCCCAGATCCACCACTGAGTAAATTCCAAGTGTTTCTTACTTTTAGTAATTTGTTTTCCTGGTTGAATTAGTCCGTTTTTGGCTTCATAGTTGTTAAGATACGTCTACATTTACTGGTTGAATACGATCATTAGTTTACCACAGCCCCCGGTTGAGCTCATTCACAGCGGGGGTCAAGACAATCATGAGCTTCGCAGTACATACTGCGCTATTCCTTGTCTTGGGTGGAAGGCAGCTGCACTGCAGAAATATCCTCACTCTAGGCTCGGCGAGCGCGGTGCACGCTCCACACCAAGTTCTAGCAAACACACAAGCCAACGTCCTGAAATCGGTAAACTGTCCCGGAGGGTCATACATCAAATTTCACTGCTGTAAAGCTGCCACTCTTCATATTTCCACTGACCACTGGCTCGCACAAAATCATCTATTATTCTCTTCTTTTTTACTAATCAACAATGAACTACAGTGGTACAGGGATAACCTCGGCTCCACCGAAGGGAGGAGGACTAAGGTCCCACAGACAGGGTCACCATGATAAGAAAGAAGATGGCTCTCTTACCGACCAATTTGTGGTAAGTTCTCTTCAGTCCTGAATCTAGGTGAGAATTTACTGTTTAAAGGAAACAGTAGTTTTACTAAGGTGTAAATCTGTTTGAAGAAGTTTACAGACGCAGCATGTCATATGTAATGACTTTTAACTTTAATTTCAGTAAACTGCTATTGAAGCCCATTATTTGTTTTACATTTCAGTACGGAGGCGCTGTTTAAGTGAAGTACTATTGTCGGGGGGGGGGGGACGTATCATGATCTGATACGTTATCGTACAGACATTTCTTTTTCCATACCACCACAGATAAATAACTTCAACATTTTATTTTTCTCATAATTCTAAAGTTCATGCATTAAATTAAATGGTTCTATGAAATAATGTGACACAATTCATAAGAATTCAAGGGTCTATTCACGTAGTTTCGTGTATCGCATCCTGCTTTTTCTTTTTTCGCCTGGAGTAATACGCAATGATTCCTTTTAGTTTCTAAGTGATCTCGACAACTGAACCTGCTACTCAGTATTTGTGAAAGCGTATATGTTTCTTTGCTTTTGCTGACCAAACAGATGACTTGAATAACTTATAATTTTGATCCTTGTTACCGAAAAGAAGAATTTTTTAAAGCTTGATTGCATCCAGCACTCTCATGCATGCAAAGCAAACAGTTTTATTTCCAAGTGGACTTCCAATAACAAACTCCAAATTTAATATAATGGCATGTTGACTAAAAAAAATGTAAAAGAACATTTTTAAACGGAAAAATATAAAGTTCGTCTCGCATATGAATTACAACTAGTACCATATTAAAAGTGCGCAAGAAATTCAGTTATTTTAGTTTAACCAGTTTTTTGGTGTGCAAACAAAAATCGTTTACATATGTCACGTTTCAGAACTAATCTAATAAGTATAGCGAGAGAGTAAGAAACAGTCATACAAGTAAGAATTATTCTAGTATTTTAATACTATAAATAAACGAACTTATAACACCAAATTTATCATGTTTCTTTAACTGGACACCTAACGTTTCACTTTACGACTTCTTCAGGAGTGCTCCACTAAAACACAAACCGTAACTGACAGTTTATATCTAACATTAAAATGTTTTTTTTTATATACACCAATATGCACTACAAATATTAAATAATATATTTTAATATTATCATAAATGTTGTTTGCATTTGAAATGATATTCTTACAATTTTAATTTAGACTCAATAAACAGTCGTGTTCGTAAAAATGCAAAATTAACGTAACAAGCACCGCATATAGCTAACAAAACGATCGTTTTCTCAAATAAATGTTATATAACTAATCTTATAAGTACAGTGTAGAGCCAACAGATACATTCATAAGAAACGTTGTAACTATAATCTTAAACGTGTGTTGTAATCTCAATTATTGTCTTTTAAATCAGATTTAGTTTTTCTAATGAAAACGATCGTATTTGTAAGGAACGTTTTAGAACTAGATTCGTATATTTAGTGGTTACAATAGAATTTGTAAGGAACGTTTTCGAACTAGTTTCTTAATTGTAGCGTTACAATAGTACTCGTAAAGAACGTTTTAGAACTAGTTCCTTAATTTTAGTGGCTACAATATTATTTGTAAGGAACATTTTTAGAATTAGTTTCTTAATTATAGCGGTTACAATAGTATTTGTAAGGAACGTTTTAGAACTAGATTCGTATATGTAGTGGTTAAAATAATATTTGTAAGGAACGTTTTAGAGCTAGCCTCACAAGGGTAGTGGTTACAATAATATTTGTAAGGAACGTTTTAGAACTAGATTCATATGTGTGGTTAGCATGTACTTAGGACCATTAGTATGATTGTTACTCCGTCGTATCGAGAATTACTTAATATCAATTTACGGTATATTAGATGATATGTTGTTATGTGATAATAATAATAATATAATAGAGCAATTATTATCTCGTTAGATAAATATAAAGTCATCTTAACCGGTCTATTAGCACTGAGAAGGATGGAAGATTGCTTGGATGGACTGCAGGGCTTATACAACTTATGAGAGTGTTCAACAATGAGACATATTTACATTGTATTTGTGATATAAATTATTGTAAAGTTGTACACTTGTCAGTGAGTGAGTGATATATATTGGATTATAGAAACTTTTGAGGTAAGTATTTGCATAACTAAATAAATAACGGAAAACATTACAATAATTTAAAGAAAATGGTTAGTCTTGATCAACTAAAAGTTATGTAGTTCAGAATACGGTTGTTCTGATATTGGTATGTTCTCAAACACATGACAGGGAGAACACATTCTTACATAATGTAGGTAACAGCGTCTTCTAGCTTCTCTCGTAATAAACCTTAACGATTAATACATTCAAGTCAGAAGAAATTTTTGTGTGTTACAATCGACAACATTTACAACCGCTACCTTAACAACAACTAGTTAAAAATAGCAATAGATATAAGAAATAGTACTGTATGTATGCAGTATCAATAAACTCTGAATACGCACTCACGATTTCAGCTAAGTATAAGAAACAGTTAAAAGAATCACCACCGTCCTACGGTAATTGTCTACTGCTAAAAACTTGCTGGAATATAGTCGCGGAAATATACGTAGAGACAGCAAACTGAAGTAACGATAAACAATAGCGGCTTGAGTAACGATATGCAACAGCAAAATCAAGAACCTATCACTTGGCAGTTTTCAATTAATGCGTTAGAAAATGCAGGGGTGGTACTTTCCCAACTAACGCACACGCTAGGAAAATACCGATTTTTTGACGGTGAAAAGTGAAGGGCTTGGAAAATTTCATAGCACGAAAAAAATTAGGTTTAAAAGTACTCTCTCAGTTGTTTGCAAATTTCTATGCGATCTCACACTACAGTAGATATCACTTGCAATAATTTTATAGTGTAGTCATAATAGGGATTTGTTTGCTTACTTTTTTGCGATCCATATTTGTATATTTTAAATTTCCAGTTTTTAATTATCTTGTATGTTGGCTTTTTTAATGCACAGCAATGGGCAAATATATGCCTAGAGTAAGACACAACTCCAACAAAGTGCGTTTAAAATTTTACCATTAGAAAAGCAGCCTTTTTAGATAAACCAACTACGTCTAAATCATCACTTTAAATAAAGCTTCGTGTCTTTTAAAGTACTTTTTTACTGAATCAGGTGGCTTTGTGCCTGGGGTTTCGTGTAAACACGCGTATAACACGCGTAGAGTACAAAAGCAGTCGCTCAAAACAACATCACATGTATTATTTATTTATAACCACGTAAATCAACTTTCAAAGAAAAATAACCAACTTTTGAATAGGTAATGGCATACGCAGAGCTTCATATAGTACATCTGTCTAGGTTTTGGTGCAAAATATCCAGCCAATTTTGCTGTAGGCTTGTGAAACAATAATATTAATAGAAATATGAACAAATGGGCAAATTTAGATATTGCCTACAATTATGAAATCACTTATTTTGTTTATTATCAATGTTTGGGTGGTCTTAACTTTTGAAAAGGAAAGTTTTGAGTGTTTTTTTTTCAAGAATAAATCTGCTTTTTAAAGTGGTTTTTACCCGAATGTTCTATTAGAGTTCTAAGAAAATTCCTGTGCGATCGCTATTATGAACCACTATCGTGATTCATGATATTATTAACAAAACATGTTATCGTCAATACAAAATACGTAATTTGGTGTTTCAATTATTTAAGCATGTATCAAACTATAAAAATTACCAATATCCGTTTACAAGAACTTTGATAGTAGTGTCGAGAATAATACAAACTTGTAACTTAGTTTTCATAATAATTCAAGCTTGTATCTATCTTAATATTATCAAGCACAGAAATTTAGGACTTAGTATTATTTTTTACCCATAGTATCATTAACTATGAAAATATGCCCTCAGTTAAGGTGGCACATACCCCTGGCCTAGAGTATTCATAATATATTTGGAGTAGATTATATCTTTTAATAAAATATCTCAATAAAAAAATGAAAGAAAAAATTATTTTGTGAAACAAGTTTTTTAAATCCAATAATAAATAAGTGATGAAGCTTTAACTTTTGTAAAAAGCAGCAACTGACCTGGCTGTTAACGAAGATATTTTAACTGACTTGGAACTAACCAGAAATGCTTATTAATTTTGTGTGCAATCGTATTAAAGCTATATATAATATACCATATGTAAAATACTTAATTCTGGAAAGGGTTAATAGATATTAAAAATATGATATAATAACACATTCATATTTCAATGTTTTGATGACCATAAAGTGCTTCTGAAGGAAGGTATTTTAATATCGTAATGGAACTAACTAAATACAGGTAGAAATTAGATACGTTCTTCTACAGTCATAGATATTATCTGATAATAAACTGAAGAAGCATAGATAGAAATTTAAATACTGTTTGAGTTCCTTTGTTTTAAAACTTTCGCGCAAAGTTCTACACAAGGTTGAGCTTCGCAAACCGTTCCTAATTTCGAAGTGATAAGACTAAAGGGGAGCAATTAGTCGATAGTAAACACCGACAACTCTTACTTAATCGAATGTTATGTTTTGATTGTCACATTTATAACTCATATATGACTCAAAATTACGGAACTTTTTTTTTTGGATACGAGACGCCAACCTTGAACTATCGGATTCACAGTCCGATCATGTGAATCCGATCAATGAATTTAACACATGCAGGAAGAAATTATAGGCATTATTTGATAATAGACTGAATTGAAAAAATCTAGTTGAAACTAAAGTTTTTATTAGAATAAGTTGAAAAAATATTGTGGCTTGTATATTATAAAAATATACAGTTATGGAAGCGTGTCATTACTTTAAAGAAAATAAAAATATAATAAATTGAAATTATAAAAGATATTTTAGATATTAATTTGAAGTAAGTATAAATTAAGACAATTATATGATAATCGACGAAACAACTGTAGACTGAAAGAACGGTTGTTATTTTGCAGAAACTGAGCAAACATACATTCAAGTTAGTTATATTATTTGACATTTCTTTTAAGTACCA